CAGATTAATGTGGGGTGGGGGGGGGGCTGAAGACACTCAGGACCACACAGCGCTATTTACCTTTATTATAACTACCTGTGTTCCAGGAGCAAGGCTGTTTACTGAAGTAATTGACGAATAGAAAAAAGACAGCAGGTTTCTCCACAGATACACGAGTATGCAGTATTACACAGAGAGTCAGGTGGTCCGTCATGAGAGAAGATGAAGGTGAGACAGCTGACGATGATGAAGGTGAAAGGAGAGAGCTTTGGTTTGTATTGCACTGTATTATTGACACCTCATCACGACAGCAGATCCCTCCTCCGTCTGATGGACTCATCACGACAGCAGATCCCTCCTCCGGTCTGATGGACTCATCACGACAGCAGATCCCTCCTCCGGTCTGATGGACTCATCACGACAGCAGATCCCTCCTCCGTCTGATGGACTCATCACGACAGCAGATCCCTCCTCTGGTCTGATGGACTCATCACGACAGCAGATCCCTCCTCCGGTCTGATGGACTCATCACGACAGCAGATCCCTCCTCTGGTCTGATGGACTCATCACGACAGCAGATCCCTCCTCCGTCTGATGGACTCATCACGACAGCAGATCCCTCCTCTGGTCTGATGGACTCATCACGACAGCAGATCCCTCCTCTGGTCTGATGGACTCATCACGACAGCAGATCCCTCCTCCGTCTGATGGACTCATCACGACAGCAGATCCCTCCTCCGGTCTGATGGACTCATCACGACAGCAGATCCCTCCTCCGTCTGATGGACTCATCACGACAGCAGATCCCTCCTCTGGTCTGATGGACTCATCGCGACAGCAGATCCCTCCTCCGGTCTGATGGACTCATCACGACAGCAGATCCCTCCTCGTGTCTGATGGACACGGAGCAGCTGATTGTCAAAGGCACTGCGTTTTTAAATAAAACTATGATTTGAACCTTCAGTTATCTCATCTTAAGGTTTATGACTCAAACACAGAGTTCAGAGCTGGTTCCAGATACACATGAAGACACAAGGTGAGATCTGAAGGACAACATGACGGAGAAGGTAAATAACAACAACATTCAGAGGAAAACAAGTAAAAAACTAAAATCGGACCAAAAAAAAAAAAGATTCTTTATTTTAAAGTCTGAGTCTTCTCTCCTAAATTAATCAATTCAACCTCAGTTAAATCTCTGGGTGTGACCTTCCTCTGCTCTGTATCCTTCTCTGACCTAAAGCAGCCCTCACACACCTCGTAACATCTCAGTTTATCGTCAGGGGGAAAACCCTCAAAAACTAAATGCGTTTCTCAGCAATACAAAAATAATCTTTCTGAGTGTCCTAACATCACCTGTAACTCTCTCAGCCCTCTCTGTGGTCTGTCTGAGTGAAGCAGGGAAACATGAGCCTGCCAGGCGGTGCTCAGGGACGCCCAGCAGGGGGCAGCACTCTCTGAAGGGGGAGATCCTCTTCATCCCTTCACATTTAAACAGAGGAACTCTTAAAGAATAAGGCCTGGAAAATAAGGTGTTTTGGCACTTTGTGACTGGGGGGGGGTGGGTTCACCACGGATCGGTGAGTTCAGGGACTCCACCTGTCCGTTAATGTTCACAACCCCGTAACAACAGGAGCTTGACAGGAAAGTAGTCCCAGGTCAGATTCCAGCTCACAGAGCTCAGTGTAGCGTTAGTGGTCCGGATGACAGTCTTAAGGAGACGGAGGTCCTCAGGTCTGGGCCCTGGCGGTGCCGTCATGCATGTAGTACACGTTGACCAGGTGCCGGTTCAGGTGGCGCCGGTAGACCACCTCCAGGGGGAAGGTGCGGTCGCAGAAGATGCACAGGTGGCTCTTGAGCTCCGTGGGGGTGGGGATCTCGTCGGTGGGCGTCTCCGGGTCGTTTGCCATCTTTCCCGACTGGGCTCCGTTGAGTCCGGAGTCGTCGCTGCCCTCGGAGGCGCTGTCGCTGATGTCGCTGCCCCCCTCCAGGCTGCTGTGGACCCCCTCGTCCTCCTCTGCGTCTGAGGGTTTGCTGCGCGGGCCTGGAAGCACCAGAGAGGGCGGGGGGGGTTTAACGAACGTGGGCGCAGGGCGGTCTTCAGCCGGGGAAGGCGTGTCTTCACCGGAGCTGCAGGGGGGGGAAACCTCTATCTCCTCTGAGGGTTTGTTCAGAATCTGTTCAGGAACTGGTGGAGGGGTTTCAACCGCTGAGACCTTCCTCTTCTTCTTCGCGGGGCTGGTTCCTGTCTCAGAAGATCTGGTCCCTGTCTTGGAGGGTCTGGTTCCTGTCAAGCAGGGCTCGGAGGATTTGATTTCTTCCTCGGAGGATTTGGTTTCTGTCTTGGAGGAAGTGGTTCCTGCCTCAGAGGAGGTGGTTCCTACCTTGGAAGATGTGGTTCCTGTCAGGCAGGACTCGGAGGGTGTGGTTCCTGTCTTGGAGGATGTGGTTCCTTTCAGGCAGGCCTCGGAGGATGTGGTTCCTGTCTTGAAGGGTGTGGTTCCTGTCTTGGAGGAAGTGGTTCCTTTCAGGCAGGGCTCGGAGGATGTGGTTCCTGTCTTGGAGGAAGTGGTTCCTGTCTTGGAGGATGTGGTTCCTGTCAGGCAGGGCTCGGAGGATGTGGTTTCTGTCTTGGAGGGTGTGGTTCCTGTCAGGCAGGCCTCGGAGGGTGTGGTTCCTGTCTTGGAGGGTGTGGTTCCTGTCTTGGAGGATGTGGTTTCTGTCTTGGAGGGTGTGGTTCCTGTCAGGCAGGCCTCGGAGGGTGTGGTTCCTGTCAGGCAGGCCTCGGAGGGTGTGGTTCCTGTCTTGGAGGGTGTGGTTCCTGTCTTGGAGGATGTGGTTCCTGTCAGGCAGGCCTCGGAGGGTGTGGTTCCTGTCTTGGAGGAAGTGGTTCCTGTCAGACAGGGCTCGGAGGATGTGGTTCCTGTCTTGGAGGCAGTGGTTCCTGTCTTGGAGGAAGTGGTTCCTGTCTTGGAGGAAGTGGTTCCTGTCAGGCAGGCCTCGGAGGGTGTGGTTCCTGTCTTGAAGGATGTGGTTCCTGTCTTGAAGGAAGTGGTTTCTGTCTTGGAGGAT